ATATGTGTGTGCGTGCGTGGGTGCGTGTGTGTGTGTGTGCGTGTGTGCGTGCGTGCGTGTGTGTGCGTGGGCGGGTGTGTGTTGTTGCGCGGGCTTGCGTTCGCTTGCATGGAATGGAAATTATAATAAACTTGCGTTCTCACATGTATTTACGCTTTTTGCTTTTTTCATGCACCAGTTGCAATGCGGTTATTACACTTCGTTTCGTTTCTTTACACGAAATTCAGATACGCACCATAATAATATGCTTTGTTCGTTGTTTACGCTATCTCTGTCACCATGTATGATATTCTTCGTGTGTTCGACCCGTAATACCGTAATTTCTGTTATTCGTGAACATTTCTGGTTTCTCGGCTAATCGACCGACCGTGATGTTCGGTATTTAACGATAATTGAGATAGGACTTATTATCAAAAGAAACGCTTGTTAACGTCCACGTAAATTCCCCACGACCTTTTGTAGTAATTATTTTAATTAAAGTGTATAAATATAATTAATGAAACAGTTAGTAATTGATTCGCTTCCCTAATTATTAGGCACGCCACGTCTTAACGTTCATCGGGCGTTCACCTTAGTATGGTTCATTATAAGATAAAGACAGGTCAGACATCGAAAGCACCCAATGGTTGCACAGTTAACCTCGTAGTTTCTTCCGCAAAACATCCACAAAATACACATTCTGTGGATACAACCTACCAAAACTACTGCTATGTATTCTACCGCAAACGTATATACATAAACAAATATTATATTTTTAGGGGTAAAACCTAGCGAAATGCTTTAAGAAAAACGCGTAACGTCGCATTAAACGAGAGCTTGGGCAAAATCGCAATAACATCGTTTTTTTTTATGGATGTTAGGCATTTCTATGTTTAACCATCAATGTAGATTACTTACACAGAGATTACAGTGTAATAAAATATACCACGTATGGTGTATGGAATAATGAAAACAGCAAGATACCTGAAGTTAATTACCAGGAAAACATACTCCCTGCTAATTGCAATCTCTTCACTAACGCTGGATGGCAAATATACATACCTCGCTGTTTAGTTACCTGACACAAATGCGCGCAAATAAAAAAAATATATAGAGCCTCTGCGAACCGCCAAGCAGAAAAGCAGCCTAGTGTCGATGCTACGTTTTGCGTGACACGCGGATACGTTTAATTAGATATTAGACGTTCTTAACTAAGAGCTTAATGACGGGAGTAAAATGAAACCCCACTCAGCAAACTATTATCTAGTTATGCCGCCAAAACTAAATCTATACTAAAATGTCGAGACGCAAAAAGCCGTATTCTTATTTAGTACTAGAAAGTAGAAACATCTCGTAAGGCAATTGTTATACATTATTAGTCCGAGTTTTGCTCGTAATTTGCATTACAGATTAACTTGAACTATTATGCGATTCACGAGATATTCCTAATGAATTTATAGCTAAAATTTCATTTCCCAAAATATTATAATGTAATGTGAAAGCCACTGATGTCGTACATAAACAAAATATGCGGTATAATTGCTATAGGTATTTATTGCAAATGTGCAATGACAGTAATTTTTAAAATAATATTACGTTCATTTATAATATAGCGGCTCGTACTATTACACGGTTTTGTAATAATATAGAAACAAAATTAGTCCAGTGACCGGTTCATTCAATTAAAAATATAAATAACTCTATATATAGTAAGACATGACCACATTATACACGCATTATAGTAGTATTATAATTAACACGTAATTAAGACCGTTTGACAACATTGCACTTGATTCGCACAGAATCAAGGTTGCTTTCTGTGTAGACGTACGGAAAGACGTATCATACTATAGACGTATAGAGATGCCGTGTCAACGACAGGTTACGTAGCAGTTTAACAACATTATGATCATGAACATCTCCATTCAAGACTCTCATGCGGGGCCGTAGCAAACGGGAAGGGGACAGGGGGTCAGTTGCTCCCAGACGTTAGCAGCGGCAACAGTGAACTGCCCACTGTCAACTATTCAGAACACAAACCGCATACGGTTAGCGCTCCCCCTCCATACCAGGCACAATGATCGAGTTATAGCTAGGGCCTTGTCACAGCAATAATACGTTAAAAACGCTATGACTCATTTGCCACATGAGATTTGTAAAACCTAAGTGATCGTATATTTTTTTCTCGACGTGACATATGATAATGTTCTCTGCATCATAATGATCGTATAGACTATACGTACGTGAATACTAGGCACATATATGCAAATTACACGTGACGGGTGGTTAATTGCTGTCTATTTGTTATTCATGAACTGGCATATATCATTTCATACATCAGAAACACATCATGACATCCGTACAACATCAACGTTATATGAACACAATGATAATATACTTGATGCTATGCAAATACGACACAATGAGCTACCTGATCATCTGTAGTGCCATGTATGTTGTATCCTGCTCTATGATTACCAAATAACGACAAGATCTTGAATGAAAATCGGCTGTGTCAGTGTATTGTGTCCGATTCAGATCATAATATTATTTAATTGCCTTCGTTCTCTGAGTTCAGTTATCATATAAGGTTCCACACTCAATCGCACAGCGTAGGGTGCACAGAACCACTTGCATCAGATGAGATATCTTACATGGTCATCTTTATCAAATCAGATCTTACAGTAACAGCTGCGTCAGATAAGATCTTACGGGAACACCTGCGTCAGATAAGAACTTACAAGAATACCTGCGTCAGATAAGATCTTGCGGGAATAATTGCTTCGCTTACAGGATTATTTGCGTCAGCTTGGATCTCACAGGAACACCTGCGTAGGATAAGAGCTTACAGGAAGACCTTCGTCAGCTTCGATCTTACAAGAACATCTGCGTCAGCTAGGATCTCACAAGAACATCTGCGTCATCTTGGATCTCAGAGGAACACCTGCGTCAGATAGGATTGTACAAGATCACTTGCGTCAAATAAAATATTACAGGAACACCTGCATCAGATCAGATCTTACAGGAAACACTGCGTCGTCTTACATCGTACAGGATCATTTGCGGAAGCTTAGATCTTGCAGGATCGATTGCGTTAGTAAATTAGACTGTAAAACATTACCTACGTCAGCGTAGATTATTTTGTATCACATGCATCAGCGTAGTTCATGCAGCATTACCTGCGCCGGAATAAATCGCACGCGATCGCATGCGTCAGCGTATGGCTGTCGAGGTGAGGTCGGTTGGCTGTAACACGTCGCCACCGACACGCCACTGGCTGCCACCGCGGTTGATGGAGGCTAGGGAGAGCGGCGAGTCCGGTTGCTTTATCGATGTCAACGAGTTCTCGCGTCCGTCGAGAACGACCGAACTGCGCGTGCGCAGCAGCCGCATCTTGAACGAGCGCTGCAGAATGCGGCGGAATGAATGGCTGAAGTAGGCGTAGATGAAGCAGTCTATCCAACTGTTCGAGAAAAACAGTATGTTGCCAATCGGAAACATCCATCGCCACATGGTCGACGCGTCGGCGAATAAAAAGTACAGATGCAGGCAGTGGTAGGGCAACCAGAGCGTGGCGAACACGCACAAGATCGTGATGGTCATCTTGATCGCGCGTCGCTTGTGTCCGAGCGACGCACCGTAGGCGGTTCCGGCGTTGGACGTGTTCGCTGACCACAGCAGCGAGTCGCGCCACAGCCGCTTGATGATGGTCGCGTAGAGTACTAGGCTGATACCGAGCGGCAGCAGGTAGAGCAGAACGACGTCGACGAAGTTGATGTACACCTGCTCGTCGCCGAACGGGAAGCCGCACATGCGCATCACGTCGTTGTACTCGGGATGCTTTTCGCCGGGTAGCAGCACGCCCCAGATGATGCCGTAGACGAGCCCGAACACCCATATGCAACCGATGCGTCGCGCCACCTGGTGGCGCGTCTGCACGGGCTCCAGCGGCCGCAAGATGGCGCCGTAGCGGTCGGCGGCGATGCCGACCATCGAGTAGACGCTGACGACGACGCTGAAGTCGCACGTGAAGCGCATGAGCCGGAAAGCGAAGCAGACCATCGGCACGTTTCGCGTGCAGAAGAACTTGAGGAAGATGTAGCAGGGCAGCACGACGCCGACGAGGAAGTCGGCCATGCACAGCGACACGATGTAGAAGTTCATCGAGCGGTGCAGGCGCCGGTTGAGCAGGATGACGGCAATCACGCAGAAGTTGCTGAACACGTTCACGCAGATGATGACGACGTGCAGCACGATGAAAAGAATCGACGTGTTCCGCTCCTCCGGATGCTTGAAGATCGAGCTGAGGTTGTCGCACGTGGAGACGTTGTACCACGGCGCCGATTCCATCTCATCGTCCGGATAACGCGGATCGTCGGCCGTTGTGTCGTCGACGCTCGTGCTCATTCATACACGCACGACGCTATATCTGCAATGTAAAATGAGCGGATGCTTCGCAGAGCTTTGCACTGTACACAGCCCACATACTGTGTGTGCAAAAACCACGCGAACAACGTATATATATATATATATATATATATATATATATATCCCTAATCTGCATAGTTGTGAATTCCTGTTTTGCGCGCGTTTTTTACTATTCGTATCAGTTGTTTAAACTAATTCTGAAGCGCAACGTACGTGTGGCGGCTGCTGACAGGCGCGAGAGCTATTCATTTTGTAACCGTGGCGCCGATTCTTTCAGTATGTGGCGAGGAATATCCGTGCAATAAACGGAGCGACTAATTAGCGAAGTAGAGCAATATGTAATTACTAGATGTAGTTCCAATGTGCTTCAGTGCTTTTTTATATCACCTTGTGCATAATATTGCAGGCGATACGCGACACCCACACTCGAATCACATCAGCATAAAATCATGCAGCTTTGTAGACAGTCACCATGAGTTGTCAGAGAGGGTTTTATGACCAGTTCAGAAAAAAAACATATTAGATAGTAGCAAGGAATAGTCCTAATAGAAAGGATATTCTTCATCCCCATAATGGCACTTTGCAGACAGGAAAGCGTGGAATTTATAATTAGATGCGCATATCCTGATGAATCGATCGGCGTGTCCGGGGCATTTTCCCAGATAGAAAAAATCACGTATCGACGTTTGATCGAGTTCTGGCAAAGATTCATGAAGCTTGAATAAAGATATATTAAATGTTAAGGAATTCTTTGCATGACACCCCGTGTTCATGACACCCCGTGTTCCCTGAGCTATTATTGAAAACCCACCTCCATTGGTGTGTACCCGCACTTAGTACAAAATCCCGGATCGCCAGAATACATTTTACTGCATGCTAGACACTCATTCTTAACCATCTCTGGTTCCGGCTGCCTACGCTGGCATTACATATCTTAATATCCACAAATATTCGTAAAGGTAATTCAGTTATGAAGCGGTAGTGTCTATTTATATTCTTTCTATGCATGCATCTCGAATTTAATCGATACTGAGTCAGCGCGATGCAAATTCTTGATGACCTTTCCCTGCTGAATATCAGCGAAAGTTATGGATGCCTACGACTTTCCACCATTTGCTATTAACCATCACCTCTATATGCATGGTGAAAGGATTCAACGGTTGCTAGGCAGCCATTACTTCTCAGCTAAACTCTGGCCGTCGGCCAGCGAGATGGAAAAATAGCAAGGGCGGGAGAGAGAAACGCACGCACGCACGCAC